GATCCCACAGAATGTGGAAATTATTGAACAATATCATTAATATCACATGCAAGTAAAATCTTACTGAAGATAATTAAAAAATAGTTGCAACAGTATATTGACAGACCTTCCAGAAATGCAAGATGGATTCAGAAGAGGATATGGAATGAGGGATATTAATGCTGATGTCAGATGGATCTTAGCTGAAAGCAAAGAATACCAGAAAGATGTTTACTTATGTTTGACTATGCAAAAGCATTTGATTGTGTGGATCATAAAAAATTATAGATAACACTGAGAAGAATGGGAATTCCAGAACACTTGATTGTACTTGTGAGGAACCTGTACATATGTCAGGAGGCTGTTGTTCAAACAGAACACAAGGCTACTGCATGGTTCAAAATCAAGAAAGGAGGGGTAAAGGTTGTATCATGTCACCACACTTACTCAATTTGTATGCTGAGCAAATAATCCGAGAAGCTGGATTCCATAAAAAAGAATGTGGCATCAGGATTGGAGGAAGACTCATTAACAACCTGCGATAAGCAGATGACACAACTTCGCTTGCTGAAAGTAAGGATGACTTGAAGCACTTGATGAAGATTAAAGACTACAGTCTGCAGTATGGATTACACCTCAATATAAAAAAAACAAAAATCCTCACAACTGGACCTAAAAGCAGCATCACAATAAATGGACAAAAAATTGAAGTTGTCAAGGACTTCATAATACTTGGTTCCACAGTCAATGCCAATGGAAGCAGCAGTCAAGACATCAGACGACATACTGCGTTGGGCAAATCTGCTGCAAAAGACCTCTTTAAAGTGCTGAAGAGTAAAGATGTCTTCTTGAAGACTAAGGTATGCCTAACCCAAGCCATAGTATTTTCAATTGCCTCTTATGCATGTGTGAGCTGCACAATGAATAAGGAAGACCAAAGAAGAGTTGATGCTTTTGAGTTGTGGTGTTGGAGAAGAATGCTAAGAGTACCATGATCTGCTAAAAGGACTAACAAATCTGTCCTGGAAGAAGTGCAGCCAGAATGTTCCTTGGAACTGAGAATGGCCAGACTTTGTCTCACCTACTTTGGTCATGTGGCCAGAAGGAAGCATTCCCTGGAGAAGGATGTCGTGCTTGGTGAAGGGGAAGGTCAATAAAGAAGGGGATGAATAGACAGTGGCTGCCACGATGGGCTCAGGTATAGCAGGGATTGTGAGGGTGGCACAGGACCAGGCAGTGTTTCGTTCTGCTGTGCACAGGGTCGCTATGTGTCAGAGATGACTCGGCGACACCTAACAGCAGACTACCGTGGTAGTTTAACTTAGTACGACCCTTAGAGAAAATTTTGGGGAACATCCATCGATACTACAAATGCATTTTTTTAAGCCCAGAAATAGCACTTCTAGGAATTGAACATATAAATATTCTTGCTTAAGTTGAAAATATGTATAACAAGGCATAATTACTTATATATAATTTCCCACTGAATGAGCAAAAAAAAAAAAGGATTTGTTGTGGGATCTGGTGGCCCCACAATATATGACCAGACTCTTAATTGTCTTTAAAACACTTCCTTTGGGGAAAAGATGATTAATCTTTTTTTTAAAAAAGCACATATGGCTTGTACTCCAATAGTATTTCTATCAAACCTAAGTGGTGCAAAGATAGGGAAATGTGACAGCATGTCAGAACTCTAACCACATCTTCCATTTATTTGTACCAAATAAATAAATAGATAAATAATAACCCAAAACCAAACAAACTCACTGTCCTGGAGTGGATTCCGAGTCACAGCGACCCCTCCTTGGGTTTCCAGGCAGTATCTATGGAAGTAGATTGCCCAGTCTTCCTTCCGAGGAGTGGCTGTTGGCTTTGAACCGCCAGCCTTCTGGTTAGCAGTCAAATGCCTTAAGCACTAGGCCACCAGAGCTCCTTTTATTTGTACAGTGCTTTACAATTCACATCTGTTATCACCACTGATCCTGTGGAGTGGATAAGGAATTGCAGTTTAGGAAGGGTGAATATTGGCAGAGCTAGTGTTTGAAAGCAGGTCTTCTAATCAAATTCACAGTTGTTTTTGGGAAAGACCAAGGTGAACCCATTCATTCAACCGCGTTTATCCTGTGTGCTAGGCTCAGGGGATCAAAGGCAGACCCCAACATAAAACTCCATTAGGCAAAGACCTTGTCTGTTTTGCTCACTGTAGTATCACTAGTGGCTAAGTCAGATGAAGGTCTGGGCTTTGCTTTTCCCGATCACTTCTCCTTAAGTCTCTCTCCGATCCCATCAAAGCGATTATATAATTTGTTAAATGTTTCCAAGGGCCATTTGATTCTGTCTCTCTCCCTTTCCCCAGATTTTAGATTCACTGGGGCAGGGAACAACATATCTTTCTTGTTCATCACTGTATCCCCAGCTTCTACCAGAGTGCTTGGCACATAAAAACTCACATCCAGTCGATTCCAATTCATATCTTTACGGAAATGGGTTGCCTCATCTTCCTCCCGCGGAGCGGCTGGTCGGTTTGGCCCACCACCTTTCCGGTTAGTAGCCAGATGTCTTACTCACTAAGCCACCAGAGCTACACGTGCTCAGCAGTTGGCGGTCAGGACACAAATATTTCTTCTCTCAAAGTAAACGGTCCCCAGCTCTGGCAAACAAGCAGGACACGCCCTGCGGACCTCGCTAGCCCCTCCCCTCCTCGGTCCCTAGGAGGAAAGGAGCCCCTCCTTGGCCCCGCCCACTCTGGTGACGCAACGCACGTGACACGCGCCGGTGCGCGCTGTTTCCGGAAGTCGCCGCCCGCACCTCCGTGTCCGCTGCTGCAGCCGCCGCCTCCGCCGCCGTGGCCGCCAAGTTCTGCGCGTGGAATGGTCTAGCGGGCCGGGTTCCTGCCACTCTGCAGAATGGAAATAATCCGGAGTAGTGCGTGTCTGCACGTGCATTTCCCCGCGTCCCCACGTTCCCCATCACCCGTCTAGGCCCAAGCCTCAGACTAGCCTGCTTGGCGGGGCCTGAGGCTGAGGCAGCAGCTCAGGGCTTTGCCCCCTTAGGCACTCTCACCCTCCGACGCTCTGCTCCTCTCCGGTCAGTGCACGCCTCGGAACTTGTCCTTTTCCAGCCCGTGGCCTCAGGAACCCCTCGGTCCCCCACTTGGTCCTCCCCTCTTAGGAGCCTGCGGGCAGGAAACCAGGCCCTGGTTCTAAACTTCCTCTCGGTTTCTCTGCAGATTTTAAGAGTAATCTTCCCAAAGTGTGCCAGGCCATAGAGGAGGCTGACTTCTTCGCCATCGATGGGGAGTTCTCAGGTATCCCTCGCTCGCAAGCTCAGTGCTAGCCAGGATTCCTCTTCCCGCCCCCGCCTTCTCTTGCCTGCTGGCAAGACCTAGTTCAGTTAGTAGTAGCCTTGGGCAAGTTGCATGAGTGCCATCGTTTCGCCGAAAACGTTTCGAAGCCTGAGAGAGATGGAGTAGGTTTGTGGCTGTTAGCTCTCTGAGGATTGAGGATAGAGATGATGGTATTGGTGCTGCCGAGAACAGTTTGACGTGTATTGGTGGAAAGCTTGTGGATTAGGATCAGACTTTTGCAGGTGAATGGGAGTATTCCTTTATGCGTTGGCGAAGATGTTCATTGCCAGCCTTGGGAGAGGTGTGTTTGCATGTACCAACTCACTGTAAATTGCAAGGTCTTTTTCCTTTTTCTCTTGGATCAAAGGCTAATTTTTCATTTGTTGGAGTCCGTATGACCAGTTTGCTCCCTTTATTAGACCTTCTGTCATCCAGTCCATTCCAACTTATAGCAACCCCTTTGGGTTTCCAAGGCCGTAAATCATTAGGTAAGTGTATTGTCTCATCTTCCTCACACGGAGCATCTGGTGGGTTTGACCCACCAACTTTCTGGTTAGCAGTCACATGCCTTACCCACTACGCCACCAGAGCTCATTCCATTTGGTATAGATACCCACTTTTACTGCTTAATTTTACAGATTTTAAAAACTCTTCAGCTCTTTCTGAAGGAATCCCTCCTGGCTGAATATGGTCCTTAGGTCCTTTGTGCAGTTTCTAGTTTAAGTCAATTCCCTGGGCAGCTGAGATTTTTCACCAGAAATAATTGAGGAATAAGATGTTGTCCTGGTGATGAGTTTGTGGTGTAGATTTTACTCCAGACTGTTGACTGAGAGTGGTGTACCAGCAATAATAAACTTCAGAATTGTGGATGTTTGATGATGCCTGCCTTCTTTGGAAAGCAACACAACTTATCTGTGTACAGGTGTTGTGATTACTGTGTTTTGAAATCCACTTTAGATTCTAAAACTGCCCATTCTCAAAATCAGACGCTCACATCTCTTAAGTTCATAATTACAGAGTTTAGATGGGTGATCAGTGAAATTAATGCTTGTCTTAGTTATCTGGTAAGGAGCTCTGATGGTGTAGTGGTTAAGGAATTTGGCTGCTGACCA